ATGGGTGAGAGAGTAGGAAATTTGAGCTCAATATCCTATGCCTTGCCTGTGGGTCTCCTTGAAAGCCGTTGAACAACATCCAGCAAAAGTCCCATGCGGCATCCCCAAACTCCTGTGACTTTATCAACAAGCCTGGTCTCGGTTTGTGGTTTACTTGAAACTTTCCTGTGAATCTGACGGGAACACAGCTGAAAAACGTACTCACTTAGAATGGGGACCCTGAGCCCCAAGTCCAGTGCCCGATCACTGTTTTTCCACCTCACTCCACACACCCTCCCAGGGCCTACGGGAAGCGTGAGCAGAATTAGTATGTATTGACCTCACAGATATCTGTGAGCATCAGAAGCCAGTGCCCAAATTGCTCTTGGTTGAGGGATATAATAGTCCCTGCTGCAGATTTCCCCGCAACCCAACATTTAAGCGTTCAGTCTTGTACAATCAGCTCAGGAAGCGCTTTGCTCAAATTACTGGGCCAGTATTATATGAGTGCGAGGTTGCCAAGGAAAATGAGTCAGAGTAATCCCTTTGCTAGGAGATGAGAAACACGAAAAGCTGGCAGACTTTTAGTATTTTAATTACTTGCTTCCAGAACAATAAAAAGGGATTCAGATCTTCCACTTAACAGTTGTACGTTATTGCAATCTCATATAGTACCTTGACTATTTATTCAGGACGTGAGCCTTTAGCTTTTCCCTTTCATCTGTATTCAACTATCCCAACGATTAGATTTGAGAAAAGTAAGAATTAAAGTTTTCTCTAGTGGTTTTAGTTATAAATATTGGAACCAAATAATTTAAACCTTATTGCTTTCTTGAAAGATTTTAAAATGCCTCCTGGGAATGACTAAAGGTAGTGTGGGATCCTGAACCGCCCCTCCCCAAATATATATATATATTAGATAAAGTAATTTGCTCAAATTACTGGGCCAGTATTATATGAGTGCGAGGTTGCCAAGGAAAATGAGTCAGAGTAATCCCTTTGCTAGGAGATGAGAAACACGAAAATTAGATATATATTATCTAATATATATATTAGATAAAGTCTAAGGAAATCTGAACAAAGTATGGACTTTAGTTAATAGTAATAACTTATCAATATTGGTTTATTAATTGTGACAAATGTACCATACTAATGTAAGAGGTTATTAATTGGGTATGGGGTATATAAGACATCTCTGTACTATCTTTATAATTTTTCTGTAAGTCTAAAATGATTCTAAAATAAGAGTTTATTTAAAAGAATGCCTCTTGATCTCATTGATGCCTCCCAGAAGATTATTTCTGTGACAACAGTAGAACTCTGGTGGATAATTTGGGCATCACAATTTGGGCTAAATGAGTACCCATAAAATGGTGTCTAGGCATGAGTCCAAATGAATTCTTTAGACCTCCCGGCCACAGAGGAGATTCTGGCTTCCTTAGTGACCTTGGAGACCAGGCATTTCAGAGATGCAAATGGAAAGTAATCCTTTCATGGGAAGTGTATCAAAATGAGGAAGGTAAGGCATTAGGGAATATTATGGGAACAAGTCCTGAGGGGTGAGAGAGAGAGAGAGAGAGAGAGAGAGAGAGAGAGAGAGAGAGAGAGAGAGAACAGAGAGAGAGCAGAGAGAGAGAGAGCGAGAGAGAGAGAGAGAGAGACAGAGACAGAGACAGAGACAGAGACAGAGACAGAGAATGAATGTGTGTGGTCTTCTGTTGTGTGTGTGATGCCTCCCTCATTGCTGCTTAGGTTGCCCCCTGTGTCTGGAAGTGTTTTCTATTTCTCATCTTCTAAGAAATCACCTTATTCTCTTAAATGGTATTCAAATCTCATCTCTTTTATGAAACTTTAGTAGGCTAGAAGCATGGATGACAGATCTTGCCCGCCTCAAATCCGTTTTGTTTTTTTAAATAGGGCCTCGTCAGTCCACCATTAAAGAAATTAAAAACAAGCTTTCTTAAATAAATCTGTAATTGTACAAAGAACCCAGTGCCTATCTGTGTTAGATCTTTGAGCCACTCCAATCAGGCTGTTCTTCCCATCACTTCATGGGAACCATTCTCATCAGGTTCCCACCCCTCAATATGCTAAATCCAATGGTTCATTTCCTGGTCTCATTTCACTCGACTTCTCATCAGCATTTGACATGGTTGCCCACTCCCTCCTCCCCGAGCGAAGGACTTTCTGTTCTCCCAAGACACCACATCCTCCTGTTTCTCTTGCTAGCTCAATAGCTGCTCCTTCTCAGTTTTTTTGGCCGGTGCCTCCTTTTCTTCCCATTCATTGTTGTGTATTCCTGGCTCGGTGCCTGGCTCTCTTCTCTCCATATACCCACTCCCTTGGTGATTGCTTGCTAACCCATGGGTTTAAATATTACCTATATGCTGATGATTAACCAGCTCCCAAACTCTTCCCTGAACTTCATGCTCATATATCCAGCATCTCATCGACAGCTCTCCCAGAATGCCTAACAGGCACCTTGAACTTGTCAACCATACAATTCTTGATTCCCAAGAGTTCAGACTGCTAGGTAGAGATGTTATTGTATCAACATTTACTGTAATGACATTCACTGCCCCTCATCCCTGTGTTCCCAAGACTAAACTAGCTAACTATAGAAAATGGTCATCGATAAGGGGCAATGTACTTTTAAATAAGAAATGCGGGAGATACATGTGTGTTGAAAAACGACTTGCAATACTCGCTAGATTGCGGTGGTCTGCGTATGTGGGAGATATTGCACGTTTGATTCCAGACCACCGCATAAAGCAAGCCGGTGGTGGAGGGCCTTACCTTCGATTTGTAAAAAACGCAACATCTGTTTCAAGGTTTCCAAAAAAACGGGCAACATCTGTGAAGTGCAATAAAGCGAGGCACAGTAAAACAAGATATGCCTCTGTGCACTGTTTTTTATTAATAACAACATTTAATGAGTGCTTCTTCTGTGCCAGGGACTGTTCAAAGTACTTTACATGTTTCATGTCATTTAATCCTTACGATAATCCCAAAGGTAGACATTATGGTCCTATTTTCATATCAGAAAATGGAGATGCGGAGAGGTTGAGTAACTTGCTCAAGGTCACAGAGCCAGTCCGAAATAACTAAGATTTGAATCCTAATAGCCAGATATACAATAGAGAGTCATGGCGAAAATTACAGTGTTATTTCCCACCGCAGGGTCAGTTCCTACTCAGATGGCATTCCATGACTCACATTCTATTACTAGAATCTGTGGCCTTTAACCTAAAATGTGCATAGAAATCTCATGCTAGATGAATAGAAAACAAAAGGAATCAAGTGAGTTCTATTATACACAAACGTTTCAGAAGCACTTTAAAAAAATGGATGTTTATAAACTAGATTTTAAAATAAGGGCATTAATTGAATGCCGCTTCTGCTAATTTAGGCATAAAATAGGGGACAAAAATGATCTCAAAGAGTGAGCCAATGGGAAATCTTAACTGAAATATGTAGCTATCGCGCCTTTCCACTTGACACAGTCCTTGTGAGGGTTAATTCACCAATGATTGCAAACCCCTCAAGCCTTTCCCTTGGTATATGCTCAGCTAATTAGACTGGGGTTCAGACCCCCAGCTCGGTACAGCTTCCCCTTCATCCCACAGCCATGGAGCGATGTAGTCTGTCTGTTCTCCCCACTGAGGCAGAGACGAGAGCCACTAAACACTGGATTCTGAAAGCTGATGCTATACCAGCTTAAAGCAATAAAAATATCGGTGTGGAAAAGAAAATTGGGAAATCCAGGTCAGCTGTTGAAAAGCACTCATTTCCATAAATACTTTATTGAAACAGTTATTTTCAGAGACGTGCCAAATTTCTGTCAAATAAATTTAAAGAGAGATATTTTTACTTTCAAACATATTGCATTATTTGGTCTAAATATAAAAACTTTCTCAAAGATCATTCTTTTCATTTAAAAAAATGTAACAAATGAGGTCTGATATTTTTAAGCAGTTTTTAAGGACAAGTTTTTATAAATATTATGCACAATTCTTTTCAACTATTTCTTTTTCTCAGTATACACCAACACACTTATTGCTAAAATACTGTTCGAAAACATGGTTATTAAACAATGAAATATATGCAGGACCATGTAAGGACTAGTGATTTTTACTAAAACATCGTCTTGCCTTTTACTAAAGTATCATGGTTTTTTTCACTTTTGAGTAAAAGGACCATTTTTTTTTTCAAAAGTTAACTAACCAAGTCAAATGTTAATTATCTAAAGGTAGTTTCTTCTTATCTACCCATGTTTTCTAGTGAGTCCTGTATAGAAAAGCAGATAATATTTATTATCTAAATAATTAGATAAAATTAGGTAAAAACAGAGCAAAGGAACAATAGAAGCTAATGTTTTGAGAGTTCCTGGTTCTGTTTGTGATCACAATAAGGAAAAGAGATATGATACGCATCTCTTTTATTTAATCGTTATTTAGCATGGCAGGCCCACAGGAAAATTAGCCAGATTTTAAAAACAGAAACAAGAAGCTGAGATTGCATGGAGATATCTGTTATATAACATTAGCCGAAGCGAGTTTATCTATTTAGGGACTTGTGAGAAGATCATTTCGCTCTTTGCTTAATGCGCTGAAAACATTTCCTTTAAAGGCAGAATCTCAGTAAAGAGCAATTCACATGCCTGGAAGCCCAAAAGTGTTTGGGGGCGAGGGCCACCGGTAAGAAATGCAGATACATAAGAAGGTGACCCCGACAGTGGCTCTTTGAACCGTCACAGACCCTTCCTGCCATGCAGCAGCAATTCTGAAGTTATTAAAAACTCTCTGTCAAGCCGAACATGCTTTTGAAAAAAGAAGAGCAGAGAAATTACTTACGTGTTGAAGTTTCAACGCCAGGCTCTCTTCTCTGCTCCGAAGAACTCGCTCGATCCTTCACTCTGGCTTGACAGCTGGTTTAATCTGCAGGGCAGGATGGAATGTGTGGTCTCGCACTTGCTGTTCTTTTCCGTTTTTCAGAGGGCCAGCGGCCCTGGTCATTTCCATGACAACCAGGAGGAAGCTGCCGGCCTACCAGTTTTCTTAGCCACACAGCAGGAGGGAACCTGCCCTGACGACTGCTGGCCACGCTTTTGCGATTGTAAAGTAGAAAATTTGCAGAAGGAACTAAGGAGACTGCTGGTGTATGCTGACCTTGAAGGGCTGACAGTAATGGAAGAAATGCTACTTTTGCAGGAAATTGAATGGATTAAGTGTAGAGCATGGAGACGCCTTGATGCTTTTACTTTCGTGATCTGTTCCATTCTTTTTGGCCTGATGAATTGTTACTTACGGCAAATGCCTGCACTAGTGTAAAAATTGTCCTAGTATGGTTATTCCAAAGAGAAAATGAACTCATTTCAACTCCAAAGATGGAGTCCTGTTCTCTCTCTCTCTTTTTTTAAGTTCGTTTTTTTTTAAATGTTAAAAGCCACAAAGCAAAGTAATATGTAAAAAATATTCTGTATACATTAACCGACGAGGGCTCATTAAATACGGGAGAAAGCAGATGAACAGTGGTGATAGAGGAAAGTCTCCCTAATTAGCAACACTAGGAAACTAGAGTAATTGCTTTGTAATTAACTGATGCAGATTATCCAGTATTTTAAAGAAGGGAGCAGCTCTTCTTTAGGGAAATTTATTCATCCAGTATTATTCATCTAGTAGACCCTTACCACATTCATGCTCTGTGTCAGGAGCTTTAAGGGACAAGAGAGATAAATAATGTCATGGTGCTTGTCTTCAAGGAAGTTATAATATGGAACGGGTGATTATATAAATTAATTGTGGGCAATGGATGAATGGAAGTACGAAGCAAATTCATGGGAGTTTTAGAGAAGGTAGGACTACAGTTTGGCAAGGAGACTGGAGAAGTCTTTGCAGAGAGGTGGTTTGATCTGGGCCTTAAAGGATGGCTAGGATTGGAGTGGTCAGATGTAAGAGGAAAGGACAGTAGTGCCTTGTGGAGAGATTCTTTGGCCAATGGGGGATGCGCTCTGATAGACAAACATTCCTCCTTTCTCACCCCAGACAGTCCCGACTCACATGTCATCGGGCTTCTCAGGTGGTCCATGGGATCAAGTATCTCCAGCAATTAAAAAAAATCGCTAGAGCAAAGGTCTGGCAACAGGAGAGTATCAGGCCTATTCCGCTCATCGAAAGCCAGCGAATCACAGTCAGGAGCAAGGGAAGTGAGAATAGGGAGACCATTTTTGGTGGACTTTGTTTCAGACTTTGATTCTGCTACCTTCTTGGACATTATTACTTAAACTCTATGAGCCTCAGTCTCCTTATTATAAAGTGGGGAGAGTAATACTTCATCGAAAGTTTACTATGAGAATTCAATGAGATGATATATGTGGACGGGACACTTGAAGATGGAGGAAGGGGAGGCTGAACAACTATCTATACGCCAACTCTCCCAACTTTCCAGAACGACTGTGGCTAATACAAGGGTTTGGCGTAGTCAGCCTCTGTTCTAACACCTTTCTCTCTTGCCTGCCTCTGCTATTGAAATCAGAAACCTAAAATACTCAACTCACGGAGTCCTCAGCTACCGTTGCCTCTGGGGCTCCAGAAATGGTTTAAGTCTTATTGGTCATTTATCCTTGATTTAAAACTGAGTCACATGGAGAGAGGATTGTGAGGCTTTGTTTGGGAATTGAGTTCGGTGAGGAGCCAGAGGTGAATTCTGGGCATGTATATTGCTGGCATGGGTCTCAGCGGAATTGACCTAGTCTGGGAGCTAACAGTGTAGATGTGGTTTCCTGACTGACTTGCTTCCTAGTTATGGCAGATGTGTCGTGACTCAGAGTTGATGCTTATGGCATTGGCTTCCTGTTGGATAAGGTGGCCTTTTAATTCAGCCACTTTCTGATTGTGGAAGAGGCAGCAGCCCCCTTGATGGCTCAATTCTCTGGTGATTCTTCGAGTTCAGCTAGAGTCCATTCAGCCCTCCCAATGATTCAAGAACTATCTGTATGTCTTAAGAAACTCTGCTGTTTAAACGCGATGGAATGGGCGCCATTGTCTGTACGTGAACATGAACCCTCGATGACATACCAGTGACTAAGTCTGGCCAAGACAAGGTAAGTAGAAGTGAGCTGGTACTGTTCCTTATGCCTCTTACTGGTTGAACATCGTTATTGAATCATTGGGAGGGCTGAGCAGCTCCTATCACTAAGGAGGGCTGAGCAGGAACACGGAGGAGCCTGGTGCCTTGAGGACATCGCCGAATCCCTAGAGCAGCTCTGTACTGCCCAGTCTGCAAGATAGAGATAATATCACCTGCTCAGTCATTTCAATGACTAGGGTAAACTACACAAAGCATTGAGTGTAAAAACTGTGCACAGAAAAGGCATTCAATAATGAGAGCTATCACAATTATGACTATGTCACTTTCTCTATTTATGACATCAAGGCCCCCAGGACCTCTTGCTGAGCGGGGCACTGTGACAAAAGCAAAGGAGTTGTGGATGGAGGTAAATTTCTCCCTGGAAACTTGAAGGCCAAGCAGCTGCTCATGAAATATGGCTGGATCTCTGTGTGTGGCACGTTAAACATTTACCACAGGTTTTATATTTTTCCCTCTTTCTAAAGCCTTTATTTCTATGTGTTCTTTGTGTTAACTAGGTCACACAGTTTCAGTCGATTTAGGAAAAATGAGTATTGGGAAGACTAATGAAACCGCATCTTAGACTGCCTGTTTTGTTCAGCTGCTGAGTTAAGGGTGGTAGACAAGTGTTTGTTCAAAACAAACTGATTTTGTTCTATTTCTTTCTTTGTAATCACAAGAGAAATGTGGGCTCTTGACGGCACATTCAAATAATATCCAGTCTAAGAGTGAAAATCTACACCTCCCTCGCCAGTGTTTCCTGAAGAAATTAGGCTGGCGTAAGTCTGCCTTGAGGCAAATCTTGCTTTGTCATTCAACTTTAGCAACTGCTTTGATTGTTAATTAACATACTGGCTCCCTAAACTCTTTCACTATGAAGTCTCGACTTCCACTGTTTCCAACAGCCTTTCTCCATGTAGTATTATGTGAAGTCTCTACTACCACTGGCTTAATCACCTCCAAGTCATTACCAGTGTCTTCCATTAGCATTTATTCCATCCTGGGCAACTCCAGGAACCAGCTCAAGTTCTTCCTTCCCAGCTCCTCCGGCGGCCACGCCAACGTCCACGTTACTCAGTTCGCTGCAGGATACAGACATTGATGTCCTCACCTCACGGCGCCGACTGTGCTCTAGGCCTCGCTGTCGGTATGTGTCTCCGTCCCACCTTCAAGATGCCACTATTTCCTCTCTGTTCTTTCTCTCGTGCTCCTGCTCTGCTCTCGTCTCACAGAAGCTTCTATACTCAGGGCCTCAGTTTTACTTCATCCGTTCCATCCATTCTGGACCCTGTGATGGCCCGCCCTCGCAACCAGTGCTGTATGCTCCGCGCCAGCCCATGCCTGGATCACCCCCCCAACCCCTAAGTCTGCTCTCTCAGCTTCCTCTCTGAGGGGGAAGACTCCTGGAGCAAATGCAAAGGACCAAAACTTCATCGAACTTGTCTTCAAAGGGACCCCTGCCACTACCCCACCATTCTTTCCATCTGCTCCTGCCCAGTCAGTGGCTTTGATGACTCTTCTCTACTTGTACCCAATCCTCATTCTTCTCACAGCATCCTCATTCTTGTAAGAGGGACTTGAACCTTGTTTCCCCAGGAGGAGCCAGAGACCTGAGTTGTTTTTTTTTTATCATCTTGCTCACGTTGACGTACCTCGTCTTAAACAACAAGCATCTTGGATCAGGAACCTCTTATGCGCCACTTCAGCTTCTTTCAGCCACACTTGTTTTTTTATTCTAGTCACCCCTGTGGTGACCAGTTCTGGCCTGGGGCCAACCAACCACGCACAGTGGCACCTGCCGGCTCCTTCTGTCTCCTCTGTGTCCACTGTGTCTTGGGACACAGCAGGTACCCCTCGGCATCCTCATAAGGGCAACTGGGAAGTGCTGGGTAATTAATGCCTCATGGAATATATATATGGAATATATACATACTTTTTTAACCAATGCGGGATGCAAGGTGATGGATACGTTGATGAAAGAAATGTCCAAACGTAGAGAATTTTTTATGAGTTTATTTGAGACAAACTGATGATATGTGCTGAGGAGCAAGATCTAAAATACTCCCGAGAGCAACGGTTTTGCAGCTTCTTTTATGCATGTGAGATTAAGGAGGCAACTAAGGAAGGTTACGTAGAGGTGGGAGGAAGCAACATGGGGATAGGACTGCGAGGTAGTTAACAAGATTATGTGATCTCCTGAGGATGGTTATTTCAAAGATGTGTTAACCGAGATGCACAGAAACAATGGACAGGGCTTGCTTAAGGCAAAGATAAGCCTTTTACTAAAAAGCTCTATGCCTGGGCTGTGACTCCCCACCATGACCTGCCCAGTTAGGAATTTTATGTTCGGATCACCTTGTGAGGTTCCTTTTTATAGAATCCCCCCGACTCTGCTTTTTTTTTTTTTTTTTTGTCCACAGATAAGTGCTTCCTCCTTTCTCACACCAGACTGGCAGTCCTGAGACATGTGTCATATGGCTTCTCAGGTGGCCCATGGGACCAGGCTACTTAATGATGTACCTTGTGAAGCTTCCCACTGCTTCACTCTCGTTCACTCCTGGGGGCCACGGTCCTCGGTAAAGTATGTGCAGATATATATTTTTCTAATGTTCTGCTCTCTGGGGAAATCAGGCTAAGACACATCTTTTATTCTTCTTTTCAAAGTCTAAAATAAATTCTTCTTCCTCTGAGCTAAAACCCAGCCCTTCTCATTTCCCGAGAGAGCTTTCTTCTATAATGATATCCTCACCTCTTCCAGCAAGTAGAATCCTGATAGTTTTAAAAAACGTGTCCTGAGAGCTTAAAAATTCCCCATTGTTTTGAGTATCTCTTTTATATGTAATTACCTCTATAAAACGGAGAGAATGTCTGAAAAATCAAAGGGGTGTCTTCAGACCTTCAGATACTTTTGTAGAATCCTAACATGATTTGTCACAATACATCACTTTAATGGCAGCGTTATCCATGAGTTAACCTGGAACTATGTTCCTACCACTTTAGGATCGTTACAGCAGGTACAGAGATTGGGAGAGAGGCAAGATCCGATACAGATGTTGGGTAGCCGGCTAGGCTTGCTCTCCATGGAAGCGACTTACTCCTGTACACAGCAGACATAATTTCGAATGTATGCCTTAGCAAATTTAAAAATTACTACCTGTCTTGGATCGTGGGGGTTATTGACAAATGTCAAGAGTCATGAATATTAATGCCACGAATGCCAGAGATCTGCTAATGTGCTGGCTGGAAAATTACTGCTTGGCTATCACCCATGGGAACATAGGCTATTGCCTGTGGGAACATAGGCTATCACCCATGGGAACATAGGCTATCACCCATGGGAACATAGGCTATCACCCATGGGAACATAACATTCTAACAATAAGCTTTCTGCTTCTGTACCCCCGCTTGCACAACCGACCTGTGGGTTGACAGGTGAATAAGAGAAAAATAGACCTTTGTGTTTAAGGCAGAACAAGGAATGGGATTTAGGGCTTAAAAACCCTGTACCTCTACATTTCGGGGCTGCTTAATTTGGGGTCTGCATACCCCTGGCAGACCCACTGATTTCTGGTGGTCCGTGTGTCTTTTGGGGGCTGGCGGCTACAACACTATGTGAAATGGTTTATTATGTATGGCTGAATCTGTCCCCGGTAATTTTGAGACATTGACTGTTTTTCTGTCCTCCAAAGTAACATCGAAAAGTCTTCCCTCTTCTTTTTGCTAGCCCTTAGCAATACTCTGTGGGCTCATATTAAGCTCTTCTTAATCACTGAGGCCCCAAACACCAAAACATTTTTGATTCTTCCTTCTCCTTTAGTTCATACAGCAAACAAGTCACCAAATACTGCAAGTCTTGTTTTGAAGTTTCTCCTGCAGAACTAGTATGTCTCAAGGTAGAAGAATTAAATATTGTAAAAGTAATCACTTATCTCAATTTAATTTATAGAGCTAATGCAATAGCAATAAAAATCCCCATTGTATTTTTTAAAAGAGTCAATACAAGTATTCTTAAGTTCAGTTGAGATAATAAACAAAGACTATTTCAGAAATGAAGATATTGTGATATATTAGCCATATGCATTATTAAAACATTTAATCTTTAAGATAATGTGGCACTAACTTGGACATGGACAGATAGGTCAATGGAACAGTATAAACAGCCTAGAATCGTAGTTTATTAAATATAAAAATGTGATATATCAAAGAAGGCAATACTTATCAATACAGATAAATAAAGAGAATAAAGCTTACTCAGCAATGATTCTGGAGTCACTGGCTAGGAATTTGGAGAAAAATCTAAATTTATATTGTCACTTCCTTCTGAATAAAGTCCTGATGGGATTAACGAATTAAAAAAATAAATTCGGTCTACGGCCATGCCGCCCTGAACAAGCTCAACCCCATCTGACCTCAGAAGCTAAGCAGGGCCGGGCCTGGTTAGTACTTGGATAGGAGATCACTTAGGAAGACCAGGTGCTGTAGGCATAAAAAATAAAAAATAGGGGACTGTAAGCTGACAAGGTCCTTGCAATCTGTGAGGTCAACCGAGGGTTGCCTCACCTAAACAAACAAACAAACAAACAAACAAATAAATAAAATAAATAAATAAATCCATAGAAAAATAAGAAAGATATTAATTAAATAATAATTAAATCTCTGGACTCCTGAAAAACTTTTAAGATAAGAAGCAATTGATGATGGTGCAGCCACTTCGGAAAACAGTCTGGCGGTTCCGTGAGAGGTTAAATTCAGAGTTACCATATGAGCCAGCAATTTCACTGCTAGGCATATACCCAAGAGAAGTGAAAATACATATTCAAAACACTTGTACACGAATACCCAAGCCGCATCATTCATAACATCCTCAAAGTGGAGACAACCCATGTCTATCAACTGACGAATAGACAGATAAAATGTGGTATTCTTATCCAATGGCATATTATTTGGCAATAAAAAGAAACGAAGTACTGACACATGCTGCAACATGACTAAACCTCGAAAACATTATCTCAGTGACAGAAGCCAGTTTAAAAGAACTGCATATGGTGTGATTACATTTATATGAAATATCTAGAATAGGCAAATCCATACAGACAGGAGTAGATTGGTGGTTGCCTAGGCCTGGGGGCTACAGTGAAACAGGGAGTGACTGCCGTGGGTGAGTCTTTCTTTTGGGGGTGATGAAAGGTTCTAAACTTGACTGTGGTGGTAGTTGCACAATTCTGTGTATATATTGAAACCATTAAATGTTGCACTTTAAAATGGATGCGTTATATAGTATATGAGTTATATCTCAATAACACTGTTAAGAAAGAAGTAATTGAGGAAGTCAGAAAGTATAAACCGATTACATTCCAAAACTATCAACTTTATCCTAAATTCTTTCTTAAAGAGGTAGGAGTGCATGGCGTTCAAAAGGACAGAGAGCTCAAAAGAGGTAAGAACTAAAATTTTTTGATTGGCTTTCTTTTCTTTTTTTAACTCTTGTGACCTGTGGTAACACTCCTTAAAATGTTGTATAATCATTTCACAGTAATTACTTCAATTCTGTGAATTAATAGTCTTTAAATTTCTCTATAAAGTCTCCACCTCAGTATATCACAGAACACGCCCTTTCCAGAAATCAGTTTATCAACTACCCAATGGTGAGTGAGCTCCCAAGATCAGCCACTTTCTTTCTGAGGGGAGCCCACTAGAAGTTAATACTGTGCTGGAAGGTAAAATGATCCCGATTCAAACTTATTGGAAAAAGATTGAAACTTCTGCAAAAGGGAGTTTTAAGAGGTGTTTTTTTTTTTGTTATTTTTGTTTTTTTTTGCTTATAGAAAGAAGCCAGCGAGTCCTCTAAGTAGTAAAGGAGGTTATTTTATAGATAAGCACATGATTTGGAGGGAAAGATTCAGATGTTGCTGCCCAAGACTGTTAATACGGTGCTGGTTCTTCCTGTGGGCCCCCCTTCGTTAAGGAACCCCAAAGCTTCGTTTGTGGCACAGAGATGCCACACTTCCGGTACAAGGCAATCTTCTTCCTCATTCTCCTGGCACATCAATTCGACCTGCCTTAGCTTTC